TATTTGGGAATTGTTAATTTCTGAATGATTACTTAAAAAAATGATAAAAATAGAAATAAATAAAATAAAATATATATTAATATTGCAAAATATTTACATTTTATAAAAATACATTTTAGACACACACACTAAATAATTATATACACAAATATTATTTATTTATTTGATAAAATTTCAGGAATTATAATATTATAATTTCAGCAATTTAAATTGCTGAAATTATAATATTATAATTCCTGAAATTTTATCAAATAAATAAATAATATTTGTGTATATAATTATTTAGTGTGTGTGTCTAAAATGTATTTTTATAAAATGTAAATATTTTGCAATATTAATATATATTTTATTTTATTTATTTCTATTTTTATCATTTTTTTAAGTAATCATTCAGAAATTAACAATTCACAAATAATTGGAACAGTTTAGATTTATAATTCCTGAAATGATCAATTAAATTAATTACTTTAATAAAAATGAAATATGATCATTATATATTTTATATTTTTACTATATACTATTTTCATTAAATCAACCACTGAAAAAACAACTATTAATCTGAATATGTGTATATACAGTATGGGTTATGGTGGAGAAAAGTGTCAGGTTTGTTGTGTGATAAAAGAGTACCAGCAAGAATGAAAGGAAAGGTGTACAGGACAGTAGTGAGACCAGCGATGTTGTATGGTTTGGAGAAAGTTGCACTGAGGAAAAGACAGGAGGAAGAGTTAGAGGTAGCAGAGCTGAAGATGTTGAGGTTCTCTTTGGGAGTGACGAGGATGGATAGGATCAGGAATGAGTACATCAGAGGGACAGCACATGTGAGATGTTTTGGAGACAAAGTTAGAGAGGCCAGGTTGAGATGGTTTGGACATGTTCAGAGGAGGGAGAGTGAATATATCGGGAAAAGGATGCTGAGGTTAGAGCTGCCAGGCAGGAGGCCGAGAGGAAGACCAAAGAGGAGGTTTATGGATGTAGTGAAGGAAGACATGAAGGTAGTCGGTCTGAGAGAAGAGGATGCAGAAGGGGATAGGGCTAGATGGAGGCAGATGATTCGCTGTGGCGACCCCTGAAGGGAACAGCCGAAAGGAAAAGAAGAAGTGTACATAATTCCTGTTGTGTGCGCACACTCTCAAGTGGTCAAGACTGCAAATGTGGGTATTGGGACAGACCCCAGTTCTGCAGAAGTGACCTGAAAGTGCAGCTCTATTACCTTCTAGTTGGATTTCTGATACGACATGCTCTGTGTGAGAATGAGTACTAGTCAGTCAAACTATTTTAGAAACTTCACTGTATTCATTCAGTTAAAGCAACCAGGACTGCTGAACTCCAGGTAATACTTCAGGAAAAGTATAATAATAATAGTCTTATAATTATTGTTGTAACACACATGACTGTATAGCCGCAGATCTCATTAAGCCCCAGCCTGACCTCACTGATGACCCCATCTTGTGATTTTTCTTCAGTGATGTCCACTAGTAAGTGGGGAGCAGGAGTGATTCTAAACGAGAAACGTCTGTGACTTCGTTGCACTCATTCACTGACCACATTTCAATGTGTGTTTTTCTCGGTTAATCTGTTTCACAGGTAAAGAATACAATGGTAATAAGAAAAGTATCATTATACAATGTACACTATTGAATCTCCGTGTTTTAGTATAAATGTCCCTAATTTGAATTAGCTCAATTTTAAGAATGCAGTAATGTCTCCATTTCAGGTGTGTGTCTTTCTATACACTTTAT